CTTAAGAAAAATAAAATTCTAAATGCAACACAGTCCAATCAATTCTAATTTCCTAGCATCGACCCTCAAAATGGACATATTTCTTTCCTGACTACCAAACGACATCATGAAACAAATTAAAATCGCTCAAACAATCGACTGTCCATTCATTTATCTCCAAAAATAATCGGTCAAAATGTTTATACTCAAACATATATTTAAAACAATAAATGGGGATCATACGTCCGTAACGGAGAACCAAACATTGTATGTTTAAACTCAAAATTTCATTACATAAAAGCATGAGAAATCCTAAACATAAGATGGTAAATCAATACCCATTTTTATTTCAGTGCAAAGAAGAGATTTAGAGAGTACCTGGCGTAAATGTAATGGCATTGGTTTGGGTGGCTCTGGGTCTCTGCCTGCTTGTGGCTACGGAAGAAAGAAAATGAACCGATGATGGAGGGCAAGGCGGAGTTGCTGAAATGACACTGAAAGGGGATCCAGAACGCTTGGCTGAACGATGGTGAGAAAGAAATTAGTGCTCGGGCAAGAAATTTGATTTTGGGGTTTTCATAATACTTTGCGGCGTTTGTAAACCAAACGTCGCTAATTGACAATTCTACTGAGTCGTTACTACCCTAGCCTATAGCGGCGTTTTTAAAAACGCCGCAAAATATTATATCTATTGTGGTGTTTATCTTAAAAATGCCACTAAGGGTACGAGTCTATAGCAGCGTTTGTATAAAAACGCCACTAAAGTATAAGTCTATAGCGGCGTTTATATAAAAACACTGCTAAAGTACGATTATTTAGCGGCATTTTCATTCAAAACGCCACTAAAGTACGAGTTTATAGCATCGTTTAGATTCAAAACACCACTAAAGTATGAGTATATAGCGGCGTTTGTATAGAAACGCCACTAAAGTACTAGTATATAACGGCGTTTGTATAAAAACGCCACTAATGTACGATTCTATAGCGACGTTTGTATAAAAACGCCACTAAAGTACGTACCTATAGCGGCATTTCTGGATACAAACGCCGCTAATTACCTTTTATTTAGATAATATTGGTTGATTTTACATATTTCATTTCTAATGTACATAAACTAAATTGACTGATATATGTATAAACATTATATGGAGAAACATTAGTTGATTTTACATATTAACAACAACCATACATTTTAATTAAGACATAAGTTATGCATAAAAATACTTAGCAACATAATACATTACAAGTTAGAAACATTAAAGTTATGCATAAACAGTCTTCACCATATTGTTCAGTAGAATTTAGTTGTGCTCATTCGTGGGGAAAGGACGTAGGAAAGCTGTTTTCCTTGTTTGACGACGTATCGTTAAGTTTTTCCTCCGTGTAAACTCTAAATGGAGAAACTCTTCATCCATTTCACCAAATAAATCTCCTACCTCCGGTTCACCAAGAAGAGTCCTTGCACGCTTTAGTGCTTCACTTGAAACAGATAACGACCTTTCACCTATAGTATGAAACTTGATTGTAGGTGGCTTGCGAACTAAATAAAAATTAAAATAAATTTAAATAGATGACATAAATGTTTACTTGGAGTAACAGTAGAGGCAACTTCATTTTCATTGAGGATAGATATTGCTTTTGCAATTGAAGATTCTTTCAACGCCACAGAGTTACCAAATCCAGTTCTAAACATCGGGTATTTATCCATTCCTCTATCATCATTCTTAATAAGCTTCGAAGATCCTATATGCATACAATCTATGAAGTTTGATTGAGCGTAAAAAAACAAATTATAGCGACTGAAAGATGCATAGATTATTACCTTCAAGAAGGAGATCGGCCATGGAAGGGTATGGAGCAATAGGAGTTCCTTTTGGGTCATTATCCAGTTTCGACAGCGAGACCGGACCGATATCCTCCCAACGATAATTTGATCCATCATCAGAGCAAATACGCCACTTAGACATTCCGTCGACGATAATTTCTCTTACTCAAGGCAACACCTGCTCTTTTTTTCTTAAATACATTAGCTTTTTGGGTTTTCCCCATTTTCAGAAGACCAAAAAAATGAAAAAGATCATTAATGATAAGAGGGATTAAACCGTGCAGTTGTGTTATAGTTCGTCGGTGAGAGGCCCGATTTGGTTGCCGGGACATACAAACGACGATGTCGGTAGGAATCGTTTGAGAGCTATTGTTGTTCCAGAGAAGAAGCTTTGAGGGAAGAAGAGTTTAATTGATTTTAGGGTTCGGGTAGGAGAAAAAGAGGACTAAATATTTAACATTTTATGGCGTTTATACAAAAAAAACGCCACTATTGATTAAAACTATTGTAACGTTTTTCTAAAAGCGCCACTATTGATTAACACTATTGCGGCGTTTATTTAAAAATGCCACTATTTATTATCACTATTACGGCATTTTAAGAATAAATGCCACTATATGTGTAATCTATTATGGCTTTTATGGTATAAACGCCGCTAATTTACCAATCTATTGCGGCGTTTTAGCTAAAACGCCACTATATGTTAAATTATTACGGCGTTTGTGGTATAAACGCCGCTAATTTACCACTCTATTGCTGCATTTTTTAACAAACGCCGCAATAAACCACCCTATTGCGGCGTTTTTTTGTAAAAACGCCGCTAAATGTCAAATTTATTACAGTGTTTTTACAACAAACGCCGCTAAAGTATCAATTTGTGGCGCTACGATTGTAAACGCTGCTATATGTTTAACTTTTGTGGCATTTTCTCTCCAAACGCCGCTAAAAACGCCGCTACATATCAGTTTTGTTGTAGTGTATTAGTACTTTATTTTTTAATATACCATAAGGGGTTAATACATTGTCAAATATTATTTTTTTTATTTTATTAAATATAATTTAAAGACACTTGGTATTATTTTATGTTTAAATCTTAATATTTATATGTTTATTTTTTAAAACCAAACTAATTATTTTAATATTTTTCTTCCATAAACATATTTTATATGATAAATTATAGAAAATTTAATTTAATTATTATAATGATAATTAATATTATAATTAATATATTTTCATAAAATAAATAAAATTAATCCAAAAATAGTTTAACCTAAATATATTTTTTCAAAATAAATATTTTTTTAGCATTGCGGTTAAGCATTGCACTTTTAATATGAAGGTCTCAGGTTCGATCTTCTCGAAAACAATGTGTTATATTAATTTATTAAAGAATAACATATTGAATCATCAACAACTAGTTGATCTAGGCCTCGTTTGGCGTGTATTTTCAAACACACTTTTAGTTAAAAAGCTCGTTTTGAACGCAAAAGCAATACCAAACGATTAAAAATGAAAAAAATGTGGTGGAAATGATGGTTTCAAACCAACCGCAAAAACAAGAATTTATGACTTTTTCATTTTCAACTTTGCGTTTGAGAGCAAATTATAATTTTAACCTTATTAATGCATGGACTCCACTCAATTATGTATTTATATTTTATTTTAATGATTTAATATTAACACCTTTAAAAATGTTATAGTTTAAAAATATTACTAATAAATTATCTTAAAATATTTTTATATTTTTATTATACTTTAAGTGATATATTTTATATATTATAATATTAATAAGTGTAAATATAATTTAAATTCTATATTTTTAATTTACAACATAATGTCTATAATACATATTTTATCTTTTCAAACTCACTTTTTAATAATAATCCTAAACATTTAAATTTTAAATTGTGCTTCTAAACAACACTTTTAAAAGTTGTTTTCTACCGTATTTTTAAAAGTCACTTTTCAAAAACTTTGCCAAACTGACATCTAGTGAGTGAGACACTAGATCCTTTAATCAAATTGGATTGGGGGTCACCCTCGCCTATGTAGTACATAGTTCGGTTAGTCGATTGATAAATCAGATACTAGTGGTTGCACAAAAGATAAACATGTCGAGACACATGACATTATCTACGTTAACGAATAACTAGATGAATACAACTAAAAATTAGAATATATCTACTATAATTGATTTAATAATAATTATATTAATTAATCAATTTAATTATGTAATTGTGATAAAATATTTGTCACTAATACGAATAACATTAATGTCTAAAATTTTGTCATTGTTATTAATCTTTTTATGTCAAAAATGTTGTCACAAAAAATAAAATTAATTGTGAAAAAATTCAATAAATCGTCACTAATATAATAGTGACGGGAAGTGACGACTCAAAAATTTTATCCCTATGATATTTGGTGACCGAATTTGATACTTTTAGTGACCATTCTTAATGTCACTGAAAATGCAATTTCTTGTAATGCCTATATGTTATATACAATGTAGAGATACTTCCATTCGTTGTGTCCTTTATCATAAACTTTCACTAAAGAGTTCAGATACATCTACTAATTATAATGTGGAAATGTTTATACTTGTTGTGTTTTCCATCGTGAATTTTCTACATTGAAATGTGTCCATTAATTATAATGTAAAGATGTCTCTCCTTGTTGTGTTCTTCATAGATGTGAACTTTTTCAAAATGTTGAGATGCCTTCCCTAGTTATAAGGTAGAGGTGCTTCCACTAATAGTTTGCTTTAGCGTGATTTTTTTTAAAATATGGTAAGAATTAAATTATTTAATCAAATTTTGGCCTTTTATACAGTACGATAAATTAATATTTAACTTTACCCTTTTACAATTTTACCTATCTATTTGAAATTTAAATATACGAGAACTAAATTGCTGTCCTAAACCTTTAATATGGGACAAAGCTTTTAACCGAGTAGTGAATATTGGTAGGTGATTATTATAAATATGTTGAATGTTTTCTTTAATTCCTTTTCATATATTTTAAAGATTTTATCTTTGTATTCATATTTACTTGAATTAGATACTGATTAATACTTGTATAAATAATAATACTAATGAAAAAGAGCCCTCGGTGACATGCAGGATTTATAATTACAGATAGCTTGCTCATTTAGTTCCTTCACTCCCCTATCTTTCTTTTCTCTGAATAACTTGTGCTTATCTAAAGAATGCCACTCAACAAAAAGAAGCTGATCCTCAACACGGTTTCAGTCAGCTTAGGCTGCAAGAAATTGAAGCTCTCCAGTTTTTTGGACCCCAAACCACGTTCTCGTCCATCTCCTCCTTCCTCGTCAGAGCTCGGACGGGACATTGGCATGGACAAGGAAACCAAGTGTTTGAGGGCGACGGTTCGAGGGTTTGGGCGTGTGGGAGGGGAGAGCCTGGCGGTGGAGAAAGAGTCGGATGACCCTTACTTGGATTTCAGGTACTCAATGTTGCAAATGATATTGGAGAAGGAGATATGTTCGAAAGATGATTTGAAGGAGCTTCTCAACTGTTTCTTGAAGCTTAATTCGCCTTATTACCATGGGATCATTGTTAGAGCTTTCTCTGACATCTGGAACGGGGTGTTCTCCATCAACCCTGCTGCTGACCATCCCTTGAAGCCACTTTATATTTAGTACACTCTTCCTGTATAACCTTTTATATTATCAGTAAATTCTTTACTATAAACGTACTCATCTCCGTTTATCAGCAAAAAAAAAAACTTTTAATCATACAATTCAATAATCTTATATAAAAAATTCTTCTTTACTGCTAAAATCAGGGTCTAATAATCAACGCTAATTAAGATAATATATAAAGAATTGTTTTCACGTTTAATGCAGTTGTAAGTTGTGAAGGTGAAGCTTTTTTTTTCATGCATTAAATTAAAATATTTCTTTAAAAAAATGTTTAATTAAAAGTGTATTATTATGCCTGAATTAAATTACCTCGTTAGTTAAAATAATGTTTGTTATTCTTAAAGGCCTCGGATTCGAGCATTAGTAATTGTAGCAGGATGACTGAACTTTCATTTTCAAATAGTTAAAAGTATTTAGAACATATAATCACCTTAACTTAATAAAAGAAAAAAAATTATAATTCCTTGGCTAATTTTAAGTGAAAATCTTGCAATATTAAACAGTATAAAAGAGCCAATGGATCACATGAGCATATTGGATATGAACAATTTTGGTTTCGTTTTCTTCTCCTTTTAGGGTACTTCACCAGCAGACACGTTTACCCCTACAAAAGAGTTTTTCACAGATAATGCGTGCACATAGTATGTATATAATCATTGAATTAAATGATATCTACATATTCTATTAATTTAATGAATTATTTAGATTTAATTTTGGAGATCACGGTATATGGTTGGGACTTGATTTGAGGCGATAATTTCCGAAAAGAATATAGATAAGTTATTGAAAATTGCCTTGTGGGGGCTTGGAGAAGAGATTACTGTCACTTTTTTAATTTTTATTTCAATAAATAAATAAATAATGGGACATGTTTTTTTTTATTTCGATAAATTAGTGAAGTACATCTCATATGCAGTGCTTCTCAACAATAACATCTGTAGACACCCGTTTTTGTCCGGGTCTTTTTTTGTATATTATTATCGTTATTATTATTATTATTATTATTATTTAATTTACATTTACAAATTTTTGCAGGCCTAATCCCTAAGCCCAACAGCATACCCAACAAGCTGGAGCAGACCCGGTTCAGGCCCAATACCAATCCCAGGCCCACTTGACAATCCAGCTAGGGTTTCATCTCAATGGTCCAGCCGCCTCATTTCTGGCCGTTGGATCTGGACCCATCCAACGGTCCAGATCACTCAGAGCTTAGGGTGAAACCCTAAAATATCATCCAATGGCCAACCGCCGCCGCCGTTTTTTCCTTCCATCTCAGCCGCGTCGAGCCACCGTGGAGCACTCCCGAGACGCCGGTGCCATCAACAAAGGCCACACAGTAAAACAAATCAGTCAATTTGTCAATCCATCAACTAGAATCAAAACCCTAAATTAAAAAATACCTAAATCCCGATAAATCGGGAAATTTGTCCCTACCAAGATCAGAGACCCTTACCCCTACGCTAGCATCATCATCATCTCACCAAACGAAGCAAAATCGACCATAAATCAAGCAGATATCAGAGAAAATGGGGGGGGGGGTCATTCGGGTAAAAAAAAAAAGAGAGAGCATTCGAAAAAAAAGAAAATAACATAGAGAGAAGAAAAAAAGTCTTACCCTTGTAGATCTATCCCTTATCAACCTCACCAGAGCTTAAAAAACCCTGAATCGAAGGTAAAACGTTTTTTTTCTTGAATCTAGGTTTAGATTAAAAGGGGTTCTCGGTTTTTTTTTGGGGTGAAGGGTTGGGTTTTCAAAGGAAATGAGGAAGAAAGAGGATTGAGGGTCTTTAGGGGTCGGTTTGCTCCCCATGGCCACCGATACGGTGGCCGGGGAGCCTCTGTTTGGTTGTTGCGGCGAGGGAGAAAGGAGAGTAGAGAAAGGGAAAGGAAAGGAGGCTGAGAGAGGGGTGAAAATGATTTAGGGTTCGGTTAATAACCCTAAAATGGGATTATATCCCAGTTTCAAAAACGACGCCGTTTAGAGGTTTCCGTGTTTTCATATTAAGGGGTAAACTACTCTTTTGGTCCCTGATGCTTTGTAACCGTATTATTTAGCCATTAAATGAAGTTTCATTTATTTGATTTCAGATTCTGATGTTTCCTTATTTATATTTTAGTCCTTTTATTATTTGTTAAGTTATTTTTGTTAATATTTGACATTGGTCACTATATTTGTGAATATTATTGTAGCCATTGGCTTGTGTATGGTTTAATTCCTATTTAGTCTTTTAGGTTTCAGTTTTCCTATTTGAGTCTCCTTTTTATTTCTTGTTATATTTTCGTCCTAACATATGTGTTGATGTTTATGACAATTTTTATATATCAAGCCTGGAATTTGTGAAATGTTTATTTCAGTCCTTAAATTTTCTGTAATGTTAGTTTGGTTTTATGCCTATTCAGGTTTATTGATTTGTGATTAATTTTATTTTGATCATTGTATGTATATTAATGGAATTTATTAACATTTATGTTTTAGTCTTTAAACTGGGTTGCCTTCTATTTTAGTCCATCTTGTTCTTAGTTTTTATTTTCGATGAGGTTTATGATTTTGATCATCTGTTTTGCATCCTTTTCATTTCGGTCCTTTATGTTGGCTTGTGGGTTCGATTGGGATTAATATTTGATTTAGGCTTAAATTTTCTTTTAGGTTCATTTTAGTCACTATCCTAGGTATTATAACATTTTTTGGTTTATATTTGGTTCTGGTTTCAATATTTATAAATGTTACATCTTAGCCACTGATTTAATATTTCATGTATGTTTCTTTGATATTCGAATTTGGCCATCCCATTTTTTAAAATACTTTATTTAGTCCTATTAATGTATGTTATGTCATTTTTGTGAATATTTGACTTTTGGACATTATGTTTGTAATAGTTTCATTCTAGTCCTAAGTTCTTGTGTTGTGATATTTTGTGGATGTTTGAATTCAACCATCATATTTGCAAATGTTCTATTTTGGTCACTGTCTGACATTTTATTTAATTACTTTTGATCCTCCATGTTTCTGTGAAATTTCAATTTAGTCATAAGCTTTACTTTTGGGTTATTTTCACTTCTAGTATTTGACTGTTAATGTTTGTGATATGGGCTCTAAATTATTTTTATTTTATATTTAGTCCTTTAAATTTCGGTTAGTGCTATTTTGGTCCATTAACTTTCTGTTTTTTGCTGTTTAGCCCCCTAAGTTTCTGTTTCTATTATTTTAGCCCCTTAAATGTTTTATATTTATTTTGGTTTGTAATATTTACTAATTTATTTTAGACATTTATGTGTGGATGTGTATTTTACTCATTAGTTAATTATTTGGATTATGTAAATAATGTTTTCAATTTCATTTAATGTAAATATTTTATTTTGTATTTCCAATTACATTTATTTTCATTATATCTTTATCTATGTAAGAAATATTCGATTATATTTTCAAGAACACGTATGCGTAGAATGGGCGTGGAAAGTACCATTTGGTCGAAGTGGTACGATCCGATACGGCATTTTAACGACATAGGAACTTGCAATAAGTCGAGTATATTTTACTAATTAATTTATTCAAACGATGCAATGTGTGTTATTTTAAATGACAATTTACTTTATTTTATGTGAATGTAAATTTCAAAATTTTTAATTTGTATTCAATTCACGTTTTCAGTTAATCAATTTATTCGTATGTAAACATTGTTTTTAATTATATTCGATTTGTATTTTTAACATAATCAATGGTAGAATATTCTTTTACGAATGAGAAATAGTTCGAGTTAGTTGTCCCGATGGAGGATTGCTAATTTCAAGATCTCCTTTCGAGTTAAAGAATTTTCTCTAATTAAATAATTCGAAGCAAATTAATTAATGTTCGATAAATGGATCATAAATTAACTTTATATTCGATTTGTAATTTCCACCATTATGACAATGTGTAAGCGACACAGTACCAATTTTGGGCGCTGTGGGGTGCTAATCCTTCCCCACACGTAACCGACTTCCGAATCCATTTAAATGAATCTTTGGTAACGCATACCGAATTTTGTCTAAAAAATGATTTTTTCTTAAAATTGTTTTAAAAGACGTTTTTAGGTATTCGACCTACCTAACCCAAAGGTCGATGGCGACTCCATTTTTTAATTTAATTCAAATCAATTCAAAATCACTCATTTTTTTCAATTTAAAGTCATAATTGTTTTTTAAAAATAATATTTAATTGTTTTACAAAAAAATGGTTATGACAGCTTGGCGACTCCGCTGGGGACTTTTTTTTAGAGAGTCAGGCTGTATGTCGTTTACATATTGTCATCTTGGTGGAAATTATGATTTCTAGTTTTAGATAATTTATGATCCGTTTATTGAAATTTTTAATTGCTTCGTTTTTGTCGTGCTAACATTTTATTTTTGGCTTTCAGCTTTGTCAGGATTTTATCATTTTTCCTTGTTTTGTTTTCCTTTTGAGTCGAAGGTAGGTATGTTCCTCCTCACACACATCACTCGCATTGGCATAACATAAGCTCTAGACACGAGCTTCGATCCAAATTAGTTAGGGTGAATGCTTTACTCTCGTAAGAATTTATTCTTCGTATGAGTTTTAGCAAATAACCCATGGGATACATACCTTATACCTTCGTAGGAATTTATTCCTCGTATGGGTATAAGGCAGTGAATCCCCTCGAATTGAACTCGGTCCGTTTGAAACCTGTAATGGGTAAGGATTGAGGGTCTGGCAGCCCAAGGGGGCACCGACATCAAGGACAATTCGAGTCCCTTTTTTCCGTTAGAGCCGAAACCAAGCATATAGTGAACCGTCGAACGATCACCCTAGGTATAGTCATACCGAACCTTTGTCCGTCAGTAGGTACCCAAACTAGGTGTACACAAAGGAGGAGTGTTTCTAAACCCTTATCTTTTGTTTTAATTTTGTAGAATTTGTTTTCTTTTAGAATAAAAGCATGCGAACTAGATATCATGCGGTTAGGATCATTTTCTTGAAATTAAATCAATTTTGGGTAGATA